GCAGCGGAACACGCGTACTTCGATCCGACCGCGGCCGTTTGGAATACTGGGCAGCTGCACACGCACACGTGGCTGGATTCGAATGTGGAGCGGTGCGGAGGCCACGCGCTGCGCACGCGTGCGGAAGCCTTGCCTCCGCGGCCACGGAGGGGCCGATCGCCGGAGAGGCATCGGGCCGCGTGTGTAACTTAGTTATCAAGCTCACGCCCAGGCCCGCCGCGTCATGCCTACGGCAAGTTCGTGTCGTGCCGACTTCTGCGCAGGTTTCTGACACCGCGCAGATCGTTCAATCTTGATCGATCGGCCGTTTCCGATCTGTCAGATCGTTCAACCAGCAGCCGAGCATCGAACGATTTTGGGTCGCCGGCGGCGTCCGACGTTGAACGCCGGCGGCGGGGTCGCCGCCAGTGGACACGACGCGAACCTACTGCACATGAGCACCCAACTCTCGCCCGGGCTGGCCGCCTCATGTGTGTCCAGCTGGCTGGTCGACTCCCGCCTGTTTCGTCTTCGGTCGCAGCCCCCACCTGGGAGGACTCCCTCTCCTCGAAAGGGGGCGGCCGCTGGGCTCAGACCGTGCAAGCGCGCGGGTCGGCCCCCCCACAGGCGGCGTGGTCTAGCCGGGCGGGCCCTGGCTCGGCCAGCTCGGGCGGGTCGGGCGGACCCCGACGCATCCTTACTCGGGCGGTAGGGTCGGGCCGGGCCCAGCGGACCCCAGATCGGCGGCGGCGGGGGGGAGCAGGAGGGAGTAGGAAGGGAGGATGGGGAGGAAGAGGGAGGGAGGAGGGAGGCAGGAGGGAGGAGGGAGGCAGGAGGGAGGAGGGCGGATGAGGAGGAGGATCGCAGAGTAGCGCTGATGCCCTTGAGGGTAGGCATGACCCTGTCAGTCGGATGGGGCACATGGGCTCTCCCATCCTGAAGCGGTGCTCGTGAAGGTTGGGGTGGCAACCCTTGTGGTCCCAGAGCCTGTGCGGGGACCGTTGAAGGCACCGTGTAATGGTGGACGGTACGTGTGGTCGACATGCCCAAGACAGCCATCTCACGGTGGGGGCTTCGTGACAGGCGACGTCGCCGCCTATCATGCAAGTGATGAGGCGCGAAGCGTGTCACATCGCCTGGTCGGAGGATGAGCTGGCATCCCATAAAATAGCGTCAGACGCTGACTCCCTAGCCATGTAGGGAGGTCCTGTGGAAACTCATCGGATGCTAAAAGGTCAGGGCGACTTGCTACCCCTAGCCAATGCACTGGCGAGCTGTCCAACGAAGCATTGTAATAATGAGGATGCCTGACGTGGCCTCGAAAATACCGCTGGGGATTTTGGCCTGACGTGCCCATGGATGGCATGGTATACCCAAGCCCAACTCCGCCGTGCCTAGGGGCTCAGAGCATGCGGAGTGCGACGATGTGAAAAGATTTTTGTTCGGCAATCCGCGCGGCGTCGCTGTAGCTGCGGGATCTACAAAACTAGGCCCACAGTTGCGGTTGTACCACAGCCGCCGCCTGATGGCTGCACGGCAGAGGAAAAGAAGAGGGAGGTAAGCTACGGTTGAACCAGTGCCGATACCGGCAAACATTATTCCAAGCATTGTGCTGGGCCTCGCTTGGAATTGGGATGTTGGCGGCGGCTGAACCGGTCCCATGGGTACTTGGCGCCAGGCGAAGTGAACTTCAAATTGCAGTCCTCCTTGAGGCCCCGGAGGTTCCCTGATTCCGAATAAACCCCGCATGCGCTGCATATAAAAATTACCCCAAGTGGGTAGTTGGAAATGTGCAGGACGTGTTTACGAGGGTTCTGGACTAGCTGGGTGAACGCCTCGTTATGGCCTCTGCATGGGCTACTGGTCGGTGCCGGCTTCTGGGACCCCCTGGCGAAAGCCAAACACACTTTGCATACCCATCTGCTGCGCTTCCATGCCCAGCTGTGCTCTCGGAGATGGCCGCGCGGCCGGCGATCTGGAGCTGGAGTGGGGGCAGGGCGGGGACAGGGGTGAAGGGGCGGAGGTGGGTATGGGGGCGCTTGACACGCGGCGCCAATCCTTGTGACACAGCCCTCCTTACAGCGCGATTTGTCGAAAACCGAGCGCATGGCTTTGGAGGTAGCCAGTTTGGGGAAGAGGAGGAGCGCCTGCATGGCGTATAGAAGATACCTCCGAACGGTCGCTCACTCTTCGGTCCAGCTTTCCTTCTCGGCCTCTGACGGCTGAGGTAAAGACAGAGCGCCTTTTTTTGCGTAACGGTCCGCCAAGGGATGAGGTTGGGGAGCTCATCCTCGTCCTCCTCACTCCTGGGCGCGGTTATCTTCATTGGGCACCGCTCTGGTGCCTCGGACCGCAATGGGAAGGAGTGCGCCACAAAGCCGCCAGCCACAGTGCATCCCCGTCCGGATACGTCTGATTTCTCCCGCTCGCGACTGACGCGCCTCAGCGCGCTGGACGCGCGAAGCGTGTGAGAATTCTCCACATCCTCCAAGGGCGATGCGGGGAGGTAGGAGGAGAGAGGAAACGTTTTAGAGGTTCAGGCAAGCGTGGCGCGTGCAAGAGCGGGCCGCGAGGCCCGCGCAGCACGAGAGGCGATAAGAGGTCAGCCTCTGATAGGAATTAACCATGGTAGCAGAGTGCGATTGTGCAGGACTGCCGGCCTTGCCGCCGGGCTGTCCTTGAGGCGAATGCCTCGCGACGTGCGTTCATACTCTTTGGACGCACGAAAGCTGGCCCTGACGCGGGCTATCGTCTAACAGAAGACAAGCCATGTTGGCCATGTTAGCCGGACAGACTGAAATTATGCAGGACTGCCGGCCTTGCCGCCGGACTGTGTCCTTGAGGCAAATGCCTCGCGACATGCTTGCATAATCTGTGAATGCACGCAAGCTGAAACTGAAGCTGGTCAGCCTCTGATAGGAGCTAACCATGGCAGCAGAGTGCGATTGTGCAGGACTGCCGGCCTTGCCGCCGGGCTGTGTCCTTGAGGCGAATGCCTCGCGACGTGCGTTCATAATCTGTGGACGCACGAAAGCTGGCCCTGACGCTGGCCATCAGACAAACCATGGTAGCCGCAAAGAGGGAGACTGTGCAGGACTGCCGGCCTTGCCGCTGGGCTGTGTCCCTGAGGCCACTGCCGCACGACATACTTGCACTATCTGCGATTGCACGAAAACTGCCAATGACGTTGATAAGAAACAACCATGCAAGCCGGACAACGTGGGATTATACAGGACTGCCGGCGTTGCCGCGGGGCTGTGTCCTTGAGGCAAATGCCTCGCGACATGCTTGCACGATCTGTGGGTGCACAAAGGCTGAAACTGAAACAACAGGCGTCTGATAGAAGATAACAACGGCACTGTGCAATTGTGCAGGACTGCCGGTTTTGCCGCCGGGCTGTGTCCTTGAGGCGAATGCCTCGCGACGTGCGTTTATAATCTGTGGACGCACGAAAGCTGGCCCTGACGCTGGCCATCGACAAATAGGAGACAAACCGTGGTAGCCGCAAAGAGGGAGACTGTGCAAGACTGCCGGCCTTGCCGCCAGACTGTGTTCTTGAGGCAATTGCCTCGCGACATGCTTGCATAATTTGTGGATGCACGCAAGCTGAAACTGAAGCTGGTCAGCCTCTGATAGGAGCTAACCATGGCAGCAGAGTGCGATTGTGCAAGACTGCCGGCCTTGCCGCCGGGCTGAGTCCTTGAGGCGAATACCTCGCGACGTGCGTTCATAATCTGTGGACGCACGAAAGCTTGCCCTGACGCTGGCCATCGACAAATAGGAGACAAACCGTGGTAGCCGCAAAGAGGGAGACTGTGCAAGACTGCCGGCCTTGCCGCTGGGCTGTGTCCTTGAGGCGATTGCCTCGCGACGTGCGTTCATAATCTATGGACGCACGAAAGAAAGCTGGCCATGACGCTGGCCATCGAGGAAAAGGAGACAAGCCATGGTAGCCACAATGAATGAGACTGTGCAAGACTGCCGGCCTTGCCGCCGGGCTGTGTCCACGAGGCGAATGCATCGCGACATGCGTGCATTATCTGCGATCGCACGAACACTGGCAATGACGATAGTAGGAGACAACCATGGCAGCCGGAAAGAATGATATTGTGTAGGACTGCCGGCCTTGCCGCCGGGCGTGTCCTGGAAGCGAATGCCTCGCGACATGCGTGCAACATCCGCAGTGCACGACAGCTGGCACGGCCGTTGGCCAGCAGCTAAAAGGAGGCAAACCATTGTAATCGGAGAGAATTCGATCGTGCAGGACCGCCGGCTTTGCCGCCGGGCTGTGTCCTTGAGGCGAATGATTCGCGACGTGCGTGCAAAATCTGTGGATGCACGAAAACTGGCGCTGCCGCTGGCCTTCGCCTGCGTACGGGGAGCCGTGCGTAGCATATGCCCGCGCGTGCCTGCAGACAACGAAGTAAAGACCTCGAAGTGAACGACCTCGAAGTGAAGCCCTCGAGGTATTGACCCGAAGTGAAGCCACTGAGGCGAAGACCTCGAGGTGCGCAAGACCTCCGGCCTTGCCGCCGGGCTGTGTCAACATTGAAGTATCGTAAGTACCTCCATTGCCCGTGTCGCCCCGGCTTCCTAACCCCTGGGGGCATTGTGCAGGTGTTGTTTGGGCGTGCGCCTTGCGCACGCCCTTACCAGCGCCCCATGCGTCCTGCACAACGACCGCCCCCAGGGGCTGCGGAAGCCATCCGCATGGGGAGGATGAGGAGGAGGAGGAGGAGAAGGAGGAGGAGGCGGAGGAGGAGGAGTAGTAGGGGACGGATGGGGTGAAGGGTGAGGAGGCACAGTGTCTGTCTCGCCAGAGATGCAGCTCGGCTGCATGGAGCGCCCCAGCGGCGATAGAAAATGCCTCAGAAGGGGTCGAAAAAGCGGAGCTCCAGGGCCCTGCGACTTCGCTCGGGGGCGACTGGTGAGGTGGAAGGAAAAGAAACGAGAAACAGCTGCCTGTCCGACCCTCCCTGGAGGCTCAGCGCCAGGCATACCAGTACCATGCATCGCCCTCCTCACAGCGACCAGGCGTGGAGCCGCCTCTGAGTATCGTTTAACCGATCTCCATCCCAACTGTCATGGCCAAGCCCGCACTGGCCGATTTACCCCCATCAATGGGTGGGCATGTTTATATAACATATAAAAATTCTAAACGTGGTTATAGATGTGATTATATACAGAGACTAGGGGCACGTCCGTGCACAGGCTCATGCAAAACATGGTGCGAGATGCGTGTGTTGCGTTGTCCTGTTTATGACGTGTGCGTGTGTGTCCGTGCGGTGAATGTGGTGTGTGCTGATGTGTGAATTATGTGTGTTGTTTGTGTGTTGCGTGTATTGTGTATGTGGTTGAAATCTCATTCTAAAAACATGATTACTGTTGATCCACCCATTCGGTGCCCATTGTGTTTTTCAATGTAAACGGCCCTCCCGGGGCTCGCACCCTGTTTCTTGAAAGGAAAAGTATTGAGCCTCAGACTGGGTTGCTGGCCCCTTGGACTACACTAGCAATCAGCTTAAGACTGTTCGCTCTTATCCACTCGCGTGCCACTCTACACGTAAAACCCAAACCTTCGATACCCGCCCTCTCCGTCTTCGATCGTGCCCCCCTTCGGGGTATGTCTTCCCCGCCTGCCGCGTGTAGTTAGTGCAGCCCTGAAAACAAGGGGAAAAAAGGACGAGGGAATACCCCGGGGGAGGGCGACGGATGGAGCATGAGAGAGATTTGCGGGAGCTGGGCTACAGTTCGGGCGTTGACCCAAGAAACCCTAAATAAGGAACGAGACCCGTTTTTTTCCCAAAGGTTAAACTCAGATTTCCCATGGAAAACCAAAGGGAAACCCAAGGAGTACTGTAAGGCAACTAAGGAACACGGAGCCCCTCCCAAATGAGAAGGGTTCCTTCTTCAGCGCCCCGACTGCAGGAGCAGAAGTGCAAGCGGCAAAACCAGACGGGCGGGTCAGGCGGGCGGACCCATCACGGGCAGGTCTGGCTGGCGGGCCCGGACGGCCGGGTCGGGCGGGTGGGTCGCGGAAGCGTCAATCCAACACGACTCGAAAGGAACTGTCGAGCGATAGCTCGATCCCCAAGTAAGCCGAAGGAAATCCAAAGCGAGAGCGCGATTCGCGAGTATTGTGGGTACGGCGCCGCAAGGACCTGTGAGGCAATACCACGCGAGAGCACGATTCCTGGACCAATTCTGAGGAAGTCCCGCGCGAGAGCGCGAATCTGAGATCAAGTGCGAGGGAGTCTCAGGCGGGAGCCGTTGTTGAACTCTCATTTCAGAAAAAATATTGTTGATCCTCCCCGTCTGGTGCACATTGTTTTTTTTTGTCGATTGAAGTGCCCTTTCCGGGGCTCGAACCCTCTTTTTATCAGGGACAGTCTCTAAGATCAAACTTTGTCGTTGGCCCCCGGTTTACAACAACAACATCATCAACAACAACAACAACAAAAACAACAACGGCTCCTGCCTGATATTCCCTTACAATTTATTGAAGAATCGCGCTCTCGCTTGGGACTTCTTTGCAATTGACCACCGGATCGCGGCTCCCGCTTGATACTTCCGTTCAATGTATTGAAGAATCGCGCTCTCACTTGGGGCTTCCGCGCTCCTCTCGCCACGGTTGCAATTCTCATTATCCTTCCGCCCCACTCTCCCAACATCCCGCTTCTTTTCAGGGTTCCACGAAATTCGTTTCTGACACCAATTCGCAGCTGTACGTCCCCCGTGGAGGTATCCACTATATGTTCTTTCAAGGGGGTGGTACGTGGCGCTGTTTATGGCGCGACCCATGGCGAAACTTATTGTTAACCTGTGTCTCCCTTCCTCCGATCCCTTCGTCCTCATTCTCCTCCGTTATCTGTTGCCCTTCGTTTTCGAAGGCTTCACCAATCACACGTGGCAGGGAATGGATATACCCCCAAAAGGGGGTTCGATCGAAGATGAAGAGGGCGGGTATCCAGGGTTTGGGACATGCATATTGAATGACGCGCGAGCAGATAAGAGCGAACAGTCATAAAATGACTGTTTTTGTTGTAGTTCGGGGCACAACAATGCCGTTCGAGGACCAAGACTTTCCAATACAAAACGAAGTGCGAGCCCCAAAAAGAAAGCTTGAACCGAAAAGCACAAGGTGCACCAGAGAGGGGGATGATCAACAATAGTTATTTGTAGAAATCAAGATCCAACGGTTCCCGCCTGATGCTCCCTGGCAGAATTATTCAAAAACGTGCTGTCGCGCGGGACATCCTCATAATTGATCAAGGAACAGCGCTCTCGCGTAGGACCCCCTCTTAATTCTCTCACACGCCGCGCCCGCGGCACTCAGGATTCACGCTCTCGCTCGAGACTTCCTCGCGATTTATGCAGCACTGACGCCTCATCGACCCACCCGCTCGAACCGGCCGTCCGGGCCCGCCAGCCAGACCTGCCCGTGATGGGTCCGCCCGCCCGGCCCGCCCCGTCTGGGTCGAAGGTTCTGCCACTTGACCTCCTGCGCCTGACCCCCCTCCTGCTAATCTTTCTCGTGCTCCATCCTTCTGCCTCCCACTCCTCCTCCCTCCCTCCCTCCCTCCCTCCTCCTCCTGCTCTTTCCCCCTCCTCCTCCCTCCTCCTCCTCCTCCTCCCCCTTGTCCCTTCCTCCGTCCCTGCTACCAATGTTTTTGGGGCTGCGCCAGCTACACGCGGGAAGTGTTGGAGAGATACCCCCAAGGGGGCAGGATCGAAGACGAAGTGGGTGGGCACTGAGGATTTAGGACATACTGGTTGAGTGACACACGAGCAGATAAGACAGAAGAGTCTGAATCCGATTGTTGCTAATTGTGTGTATGGTGTTTGTTGCGTGTGCTGTGTACGTGTCGTGTATTTCGTGTTGTGCTTGTTGCGTGCACAGTGTGTTCTGTGAGCGGTGTGTGCGTGTATTGTGTTCTGTGTGTGTGTGTTCTGTGCGTTGTAGATGTTGTGTCTTGGGTGTGTGGTTGTGTTATGTGATCTGTGTGTTGTGTGTGCTGTGTTAGTGTGTTTCGTTTGTGTGTTGTGTGATGTGTTTGGGTATGCTCTGTGTGCCTGGTTCGTGTGTGTGTTGTGTGTGCATGGTGTGTGTGTGTGTCCTGTGTTCTGTGGGTTGTGTGTGAGGTATGTGTTCTGTATGTGTTCTGCGTGTTGCACGCAGAGGCGCGATGTTGCGGGGATGTCTCAAGCGAAACTATATGTTTGAAGCAACGTCTGCAACATGATTGACGCCTATTTTGTCATGGAACATTCTATCAACATGATTAGGAACAACAGCAATGCTTTGGGCCGTGACGTCGCGATCTGCGTGGAGGGCGCGTCCGATCTTAAGACGGTCGAGGAACATCCCGTGCGAATCAGCTAGACATCGCAGGCGACTCAATACTAGTCTCTTAGCCTTGCTCCATCGAAGAGGCGCGCATCATAACCTGTGTAAATTTATCTATACTCATGTAGAATAGTTGTGTACAAGTGGCACGTGCCTGCCCTGGATCATGCAAGACGAATGCAACCTCTGTGCGTGTTGGTGCTTTTTGTTGTGTGCTGTGTAACGTGTGTGTGTGGTGGGTGTATGGTGCGTGCTGTGTGCCGTGTGAGGCATGTGTGCGGTGCGTGTTGTATGCGTTTTGTGCATCCAGGTGTGCGTGCTCTTTGTGTGTGTGTCATGTAATGCATGTTGTGTTGTGCTTTGCGGGTGCTGTGTATTGCGCGTGGTGTGTGTGTGTGTGTGTGTGTGTTATGGGTCATGTATGTTCTGTGTGTTGTAGTTGTTGTGCGTTCTGGGTGTGTTCTGGAGTGTGCTATCTGTGTGTGTTGCGTGCTCTGCCTGTAGTGTGGGTGCTGTGCGTGTGCTGTGTATGTGTGTGATTGTGTTGTTTGTGCTTGTTCTGTGCGTCTGTTGTGTGGATGTGTGTTTTCTGTGTTATGCGGGCTGTGTGTGTGTTGTGTGCGTGTGTGTTTTGCAAGTTGGGGCTCAAAGTTGCGAGGAATTCTCAGGCGTCTTTCTTTTAGATCCATGCGCAACATCATAGAAGTCCATTGTGTTTTTGAAGGTCGTTGGTTGAAGGAGAAAGAACTGTGTGCTTTGGACCGTGCCGTGGGATCTGCGTGAGGGATGCGTCCGGCATTCAAAAGGTTGAGGATTCCCCGAGCGGTCAGGACATAACAAGAAACACGCAGCGACATGTAATCGCCTTTGAGCTGTGCTCCCTCGAGGAGGCGCGCATGACGATATTCCTATATGTGTGCTGATTAAATGCGTAGAGGTGTTGTTCCCTTCGAGTTCCGCGGGGCCACACTATCCCCAACTGGGTGCAGTGGGATGGTGGAGCTGAGATACCATGGCCCAGTGTAGAGGCCCCCTGGATGGGACACGAGCAGATGGGGTCCGAGGATCGCGACGCATCGCCGATGCAGCGGCGACGTCCGCCTGGAGAAGACCGGGATCTACATCGAGCCGTAGCGCCGATGCAGCGGCGATGCGGCGCGATCCTCCGACCCCATGTGCTCGGGCCCCATCTGGGAGGGCTGGTGGGGCTGAGATACCATGGTCCAGTGGGGATGGGGATCGGTTCTACGATGCAGCCTCGATCTGCCCCCGCGTCCTCGCCCGCGCCGGCGGGCGCCTCGAGCACCTCGGGGGCCCCGCGCGGCTCCCGCCGCAAGAGCGAGGGGCTCAGCGACCTCGACGTCCGCGACCCGGGCGCGGTGCTCTCGTCGCGCTGCTCCACGTCGATGATCGGGGTTGCGAAACGTGTCCCTGGCCCAGGGTACCCCCAGCTCGGGGACCCCTGGTGCCCTCCAGTTCGGGAGCTCATGGGGCCCTCTAGGCCTCGCGAGGGGCGCTCTGGAGGCCGTGTGGAGGCCTCCCCGAAAATCCTTGGGGCACCCTGGGCAAGGGGCAAGTCTGGCAACACCCGAGATGAAGGTGTTGCGCACAAAGGCCCGGAAGCACGCCCTGCCGAGCCGCCCGTCGCTGTCCAGCGTGGGGGTCGCCGAGGCGGACGGCACCCACAGGCCGCGCCCCTGCGGCGTCCCTGCGCTCGACGTGGCCCCCGCCGTGCTGCTCTCGCTCGGGCCGCCGTGGAGCGGCAGCAGCTCCCTCCTGTGGGGCGCCTGCGCCAGCTGGCCCCAGACGTACTGCACCACCTGGTTCGGCTGCCAGCCAGCGCCCAGCATCGGCCTCGCAGCCGGGGAGGGCGCCTCCGACAGCTGCGCCCCCGCGGACGCCCTGCTCGGGCCCTCCTCGCCCTGCGAGGGCGTGCGCCGCCTGGCCCCGCCCTCCTCGCCCTCGGCTGCCTCGGCCCCGAAGCTCCCGAAGACGACGCTCTCGTCGCCGCCCTCCTCCGCCTCCGCCTCCTCGGCGCCTCCTCGCGGCGTGGGCGGCCTCCCCGCGGCCGGCTCGCCCTCGCCCTCCGGCCGAGCGGGCGGCCCTGCGGCGGCGGCGGCGGCGGCCAGGCCGGCCGCACCTGCGGCCGCAGCGGCCGCCGGCCCCTGGGCCTCCCCCTCGTGGGCCTGCGGGTGGCGGCCCTCCTCCTGGCCCCCGGCGTCGCGTGCCTCCTCGCGGGACTCCACGCCCCAGTAGTGGGAGGCGAGCACCACGGGCTCCGCGCGGCCCTCCTCCTTCACGAGCTCCAGCGGCGGCGGCGGGGCCCGGGCCTTGCGCCCCCTCCGCTTGCCGGCGGCTGTCCGGACCCTGGCGTCGTGCTCCTCCATCCAGGGCTCCAGGTTCACCTCGGTGGGCTCCGCCACGGGCGGCGGCTGCTCCTCCACGCCGAAGGCTGGGTCGGAGGCCATGGCCCACAGGGCCTGTTCGACCAGCCGGGCCAGCTGCTGCTCCATCTCCCCCACGTTAGCGGGGTCCGCGGTGCAGATGCTTTTCCACTTCGCCCGCGGGGCGGGCGGCCGCGGGCTCCTCTGCGAGAGGAAGTCTGGCAGCACGGAGGAGATCTGCTCCAGGAAGTCCTCACGGGTGACGAAGTCGGCCTTCGCCCTCAGAACAGGGCGCATCTCGGGGTCCATCATGACCGTGCTGGGGTCCAACCTGGAGCGCGACGCCGTCCACGAGAACTCGAAGCCCTGCTTCAAGAGCACGGAGGCCTCCAGTGGATCGTCCCTGCCGCCAGGGCTCAGACCGAGTGCCATCATCGCGCTCTGCCTCTCGTACAGTCCGGCCAGGGCCTCGCGGACCTTTCAAAGGAATCCACGTCTGTAAAGAGTGTCGTAGGTCCGTGCAGATATCTTGGATCGGCGCCGACCCCCCTGGCGGCGCTTCAGTTGCCACCACTGACGCGCTCCGCGCGCCATGGAGGGGCTGTGGCCCAGTCCCAGGCTCAGGCTCGAGCTCGGGCTCGGGCCCAGTCTCGTGCTCGAGCTTGGGTTCGGGCTCGGGTCTTAGCCGGCTCGGGCTTGAAGGCCCAGCACCTCTCCAGGACATCGGACCTCCGAACATTCATGTTCGTGCAGCCTCTTCTTCCCCGACCTTTTCTAGCAGCCCCGGGTCCTCGAACCTCAGCGCAGCCTGTCTCCTTTCGGGCGTTGGCGGGACGGGGTGCAGTAAGACCTGCGTTAGTGATGTGTATACCAAGGGGCGCCCCCCCCAACCCCATTACTACCGTCACCCGAAGAAACACCATATACGGAAAACATGGTTCTGTGATGATGATGATGATGATGATGATGATGATGATGATGATGATGATGATGATGATGATGATGATGATGACGATGACGATGACGATGATGATGATGATGATGATGATGATGATGATGATGATGATGATGATGATGATGATGATGATGATGATAGCAGCTTCGATTCGCAACTTCCCCGGTGGATTATCAAGTTCGGCCTCCACGCCCCTATCCACAATTAAACCCTGTTCAACGGGGATCATACAAATAGAGGGGGTGAAAGGGGGGGGTCTGATACTGGGTTAATTCTTGGGGGCTTCAGGCCCCAATAACTAAGCAGCTTCCCCTACCCGGGGTCCTGGCTATGTTCGCTCCTTAGGGGGTGGAGATACGGGGGGGGGAACAGCTCAGGGCGGAAGAACATTGACCTGGAACTGGCGACAACTCACCGATGGACCCCCGATAACGAATCCGCGCTCTCCTGGGCGGGATAGGCTATCCTGCCCCCATCGATCGGCGAGGACCAGCGATTGGGAGTCAACGCATCCCCCTGTCAGCCCATCTCGGGTCACAACTCGGGTCTCAGGTGGCCGTTCGGGACGCACGCCCGGAAGCCCCTCGGCGAGGCGGAGCCGCTGAAGCGCACCCCGCGGTTGGAGGACAGAGCAGAATCGACGAAAAAACGCCCGAACACCTCCATGCTCGAACGCGAAAGTCCGGGACCTGTGGTCAGGACTTGTTGGCTGCGGTGTCGCGGCTGCGGCCCTGGCGGCACGCTGTGCCCTGGCAAGCGGAGGGCGCGTCGCCCCGCTCCGCGGGGCGGGGGGCCGGGCAAGGCTCGGGGCGTTGGCGCTCGGGGGCAAGGACAACATGGTCCGCGTGCCGCTCCGAAGCGGGGTGGGCCAGAGCCGACGGCGCGACACGCCGAGCAAGAGCTGCGGGCGGCATCCCCCCCCGGACCCCGGAACCCAAGTTCCCCCCCCCCAAACTTGGGCGCCCGAGCGATCCGGGGTAACTCGGGTCCGGGGTAACTCGGGTTTGGATTCCCGTAAAACGAACCCGAGTTAGCCCTGACCCGAGCTACCCCTGATGATTTTGGGGCCCTGGACGCCCGAGTTATCCGGGGTAACTCGGGTCCGGGGTAAGTCGGGTTCGGAATTCCGAAAAACGAACCCGAGTTATCCCTGACCCGAGTTACCCCTGATGATTCGGGGCTCTGACAAACGTTGCTCGGCTGCTCGCAAGGAGTGGCCCTGGGCAAGACGTGGCCTTTGGCGCGCGGCTTGCCGACCGCTGCAGCGCGCTCGGCTGCTCGCAGGGAGTGGCCCTGGGCAAGACGTGGCCTCTGGTGCGCGGCTTGCCGACCGCTGCAGCGCGGTGCGACGGGCACAGCCTGCGCGCGTGTGGGCTTGCCGCGCCTGCGCTGCCCGAAAGCCGCGCACCAAATGGCCACTCCAGCGAGGGGCCACTCTTACGCGTACCCGCAGGAGGTCTCTAGAAACTTTGATCCCCCCACCCTTTCCCCTCGGCGGTGAATAGGACTGGTCCTGAAACCTCTTCCTCCTCCTCCCCCCTCTCCCCCTCCTCGTTCTCCTCCTCTTCCTGCTCCTCCTCCTCCTCCCACTCCTCCTCCTCCTCCTCCTCCGCCTCCTCATCCTCCTTCTCCTCCTCCTCCCCCCCGGCTCCCCCTCGGGTGCCGCGGAACAAATGCTCATCAGTTGCCCCCTTCCGTTGGTGGGACCCCAGTCCTTCAAAATAAGGCCGCCGAACACATAATCAATTACCGTCTATGTTTGGTGGCTCTAAAAAGAAGAGTAAGAAGAAACATACAAAAAACAGCATAAACATAAACGTTTGGCGCTCCGCCGGATTACTTGGATCTGCGCTGGACCCCCCTCCCTGGCGCGCGGACCGCGCCAGGGGCGGCGCCGGAGGCGCCGCCTGGGGGGCCGCGCGGAGCGCCGAACATTTATGCATGTGTTTTTTTCTTCGACTCGAAAGGCTTCCCGCGGTGACCCGAGTTGCCCCCGACTCCTGCCCGGGCTCAGCGCGCACCACCGCCGGCGCACCTCCTCCTGGGCCGATAAGTCGGACATGTCCTCCTACAGGCGGATTTTCTGGACGGAGAAACTCAACGGTTCCAGGAGTCAATCATAGAAACATCGTCCCCTGACTGCACAAACATCGTCCTCTGAGCAGGGACCGACCGTCCCGGCATTCCTATAGTCCTACCACGAAATGTTCTTAGAACCCAAGACTGTCCCAATAACAAAACAATGCTCTCAGAACATTCACCCGATGTGTGAAACCAAGACGGTCCCGGCCGGACATGTTCTAAGAACACTTCGTGCAGACCACAAAATGTTCTTAGGACATTCCTTGGTGGGGCTATAGGCGAGCCAGGACGCTTCGCCACTGTAGGGCGACGAAATCTATACATATCCACTGCTCCCAGGCCAGGCCCATCCTCAACCCCGCAGCGGTGTCTACGCCACGCCCTCCTGGCTTGGCCAGGAGGGCGCATACACAGCTCCTGGGTTCAGGATGGGCATGGTCAGGGAGCAGTGGATATGTATAGATTTCGTCGCCCGACACTGCTTGATGTTGAGGGGCGGACAGGCCCGACTTACCAATCCTCGGCCGGCCGCCCCCGCGCGGCGCCGCGGGCGGCGGGCATGGCGCGGCGCCGCGGCAGCGCCCGCGCGCAGGCGCGGGGGGGGGGGGGGGGCGGCGCCGCGATGGGCGGGCGCGCCCCGCGGTGCCCCCCCCGCGGAGGCGCTGCCTGCCCCCCCCTGGCTGCCTCGGCGGGGGAGGGGGGGGGGGCGCACCGCCGCCACCGCAAAAGCAGGAGGGCGAGGGAGTCCTCCTCCTCCTCCTCCTCCTCCTCCTCCTCCTTCCCCCCTTCTTCCCACCTCCTTCCCCCCTCCTCCTCCTCCTCCTCCTCCTCCTCCTGCTCCTCCTCCTCCTCCTCCTCCTCCTCCTCCTCCTCCTCCTCCTCCTCCTCCTCCTCCTCCTCCTCCCACCCTCCAGCTCACGGTGGTGGTGGCGGAAAGCAGGCCTATCAGAGGAGGGATGGGGGGGGGGAAGGTGGAGGGGGACGGGTGGTCGCCCGCGGCAGGCGAGTGGGCGTCCGATCCGCGGAAAGCATCCCCAAGTTCTCCGTGTCTCTCTCTCTCTCTCTCTCCTGGCTCTCTCCTTCTGCCCCTCGTACTTTCAGAGGTGCAGATCTATGACCTATGACCCTGACTGTCTGTCTGTCTCTCGATCTCTGTCTTGCATGGCCTCTCATTATCTATATTTCTGTCTCTCTCTCTCTCGCTCTCTGTCTCCCTGTCAGTCAGTCAGTCAGTCAGTCAATCTCTTCCTCTCTTATCTCAGCGCAGGGGCGCCGAAACCCGTGGCTGTAGAGGAGGATGGAGGAGGGAGGGAGGAAGCAAGGAGAGAGGGGAGGAAGATGCTGAGGAGGAGCTGGAGGCGGAGTCCTCGAATCACCCAAGGCTCAGAGGCGCAGCGCCCGTGGCCACAGTATTTGGGCGTTGCTTAATGGGGGGGTCACGAATGGGGGGGTCAGAAAAGGTCCCCTTTCGTGCCCCTTTCTGGCCCCTCCAAAGCCACAGGGGGCTCGTTTAGGTACCGTTTGGGTACCTTTTCGGACCACCCGCGACACCCCCCCATTTATGACCCCTCCATTACGCAACGCCCAAATTATGCACGTTCGTGAACAGCCGGGGCTCGGAGGTGAAGGATCCTTAAAACAGCAGAACGTTGGAGTTGGAGGCGCGTGGTCTTCGAAACGCCGAAGGATCTTGGCTCCGAAGTGGGTCGGAAAATCGTGACCGTGATGGCCCCGCCCCTCACACGGGCGCCGTGATCATTGCAGCTTGATGCAGCAACGCAATCTGATCTAGCAAGTCCGTCCTCGCCACACAGAGGGAATGCGAGCGTCAAGGGACGCATGCCGGCCAAGATTCACGGGGCGCACCGTCGGGTGGATCAACAGGTAATAGTCTTCAGGTCTTCAGGTTGGACGTTGAACAAAACCCATCTCGAGGATAATCATGTCGATTCGAGGGATGCCCACCCGAGAACGCGAGGCGGGATCCCCAAGGACCTGGCCGCAGCGGTATGCAGTCGTCATTCGTCGAAGACGCGAGGCGGGATTCCCATGGAGCACGGGCACACTTTGGACCTGGTGTGCGAGGCGGGTCGGGGGTTCCTTCTCATTCAACTTCGCAACACCAAAATGCCGGGTGGGGAATGATTATATCTGCTCACGTGTCAATCGAACTGCTTATCATCACGTACCCTCTTCGTCTACTGGGTGTGAATTTCCTAAGAACCGGTCATTGATACGGGTCCTAAAATTGGAAGGGGAAGACAAACGACACAGCCCAAACCTGAATTTCCAGCGGTGTCTGGTTGAGGACTGTCTAGCACTGCAGCTTCATAGCAGTGATCTTTGAGATGTGGCTTGGCGCTGAATCTGACGAGTTCCACAACATACGTTTCCGAACCACATTTGGAACTGGAATGTCCTACCAATGTTTTTTTGCGCATTATGCGCGGGTTCCTCACGGCTGCCTCCTCTTATAATGGCAATAGTGGCAACCCACGGAGCTAAACGAATTTACGGACCGCGGGCTTG